CGTAAAACTCCAATTCAAAACAAAATTCAAGCTTCTCACAAAAACCGGTACTTTTATGATAACCTTGTATTTTATCGTAAAACTCCAATTCAAAACAAAATTCAAGCTTCTCACGACAACTGGTACTTTTACGATAACCTTGTATTTTGAATCGCTTCGCAACATTTCCCATAAAATATATTTCTTCTGATTCAAATCAAAATATATTTTATACTTCCAACGTCATCTCGACCTTCAACCTCCACCATGACTAACACCAGAAGCACGAAAGCCACAAAGCGCTCCTTCCACCCCAACATCGAATACATCCACGCTGTCTTCCTTCAGCATTACAACTATCCTGAACTCACAGAACCAATGAATTCAGCATACGGTTTCACAAACGACTTTGTCAACTACCTCAATGCCAATCAAGATGCTTTCGAAGATGTCGCTAAATTTATCCCGGCCGTAAAAGAAAATATCATTGACCACGTCCAGGTCAATGTGTTCAACACTACGGATAAAACTCATATCGAAACACTAATGCAAACAAAGACAACACTCCTCGTTGAAATTGCAAAGAACAAAAGCGTGCAACTTTTGGAAACTAACAGCACCAACCTTGACAAGGCTCTAACCTTCGTATCCAAAACCGAACAGAGCAACGCACTCGTTCTTTACATCAACTGGTCACCCTTCTACATTGATGACAGAGTGAAAACAAAAGATATTTACAATTTTGCACTCTTCAATGACACCCCTTTTCCACCTCTCGATCCCACCACGAAGCCTCAAACTACGACTGGAACTCAAACTAATGACCCTGCCATCCTTAAACTTTGGAAACAAAACAATGAAATCTTGAAGAACACTGCTGACGCAATCAAGAGTCTTGCTCCAAAGCCAAAAATGCCGGCGATCCCCACTAGCACCGATCCATTTATTCCAGTCAACTTTGCCACTGGTGTCAATATCCGTTACAAGTTCAATAAAGAACCATACAAGTTCCATACCAGCAACACTCTCGCCAAAATTTACGACACTACAGTGCCTCCTGGATTCCGAAATTACGCTCATGATTCTAAACACTTGGCAACAGGTTTTGTCACTAGTGATGGTTCCTATTTCGTTCTCGTTGATCTTGGACCACAAAGTGAAAAGAACTTCCGCAACAATGTCAATAAAATGACAGGTGAAACATCCTATGAACTCTACAATTGGTACACGTGCTTCACAACCCATTGTGCCCGCTATGGTAAATACTGTCACCCATACCCTTGCTTCCGCCCCAAATGTATTCACCCTCGAGGCTTCACCATTGGTATGGATGACGACGGTGATCTTAATTCAACCTTTGAAACAAAAATATCTACCGACTCCCGCGTTATCTGGGATGTTCTTCACCAAGCTTGTGCTTCCCACGATAAATTCCGTCACATTGTTGAACTCTACGATGGACATGGATACGAAGCATTAAAGGCAATCATCTGCCCAAATCATCCTTTTTTGATTGAATCCCCGTCCTCGTTAGTTACAACACGTCCTACCCAAGGTTCACTATCCCTCATGGAATATTGGAAGAAATACAACCATTACATCATGCTCCGATCATTAGTCGAAGATAACAAGCAAACGGTATATGACAAAACTGAACGAGAACACTTCGTCAGTGGTTGCACCTACTTGTCTTTCCTCCATACTGAAATTTGCCGAGAACAACATTTTACGCATCTCAAGCACAAATTTGAACCGTCAAACTTTCTCACTACCCTACAGCAATATTTGAACCTTACAAATAGTCCAGCTATTGCTCAACCATTATACCGAAACCAGGCTCGCAAATTCAACCCATATACTCTGAGTTATAAATGCCCTGAATCTGCAACCAAAACCGCCTCGGTAAACCAAATCCAGACCATCAACGTTGACGACGACTTCCTCAACCTCGCCTGCTCCATGTCGATCAATCAAATCAAAGCCAACCCAACTTCGTTTAATAAGCCATGCCTCGTTTGCAATATGATGACTGGACAAACATCAAACCATACATTTGAACATTGTCCAATCCTCCAACAGTCAAACCTACTTTGTCAAAATTTCATCAACTTTTGTCAAATGTACAAACAAGCACAAAATTCTCTAAACAAAGCTAATACCTTGATCAATCATATTCAAGCGTCACCATCAATCGAGGACACACAGCTCATGATTGACAACGTCGTAACCCCGTCCGAATCAACTGATGACACAGAAATGGATTTTGTTCAGGGCGGACGATAAAATCGGACGATCCATGCCCTTCTCATCACCCGTCACCCACCCCTGTTCTCCATATGCTCAACTCAATTCACATTATGCATATTCATTTTCTCCCCTCCCACGATACCGTATGCGATACGTCATCCCCAAATCAACTGACAATGAAAGTCCTGACGTACCCGCATCATGCCTTTCTATCTAAAACTGAAAAAGGACCTGATACACCCTATGAACCAATCCAACCATCTCAAATACATGTTGTCGACATTCACTCCACTACGTCTATGCCACATGCCATGCCACCGCCAACTGTATATACTTCTAACATCTCCTCCACTGTTAGAATGCAGATTGACACTGGTGCAGACATTACCTGTACGAATCTGATTGACGTAATACACAACTACAGACCATACACAAAAGACTTCSCATGTCAACTAAAACTCGTCGGTGCCATAAACTCTAATGAAGGCATCTATCCCCATGGCAAAGGATACCTACACTTACCAGCAGTCAACGACAACGGTTATACGCGCGTTCGTTGTATCTATTCCCCCACCCTGTCCTCCACGCTAATTTCTGAAGATGATTTTATACGTTCTACTAATCCGAAACTCAAACTCCGAGATTACACTATCGAAATATATATATTTCATCATTCAAATAAAATCACTATCAAATGCAAGCACCAAGTCAATGATGATAAAACACTCGTTATTCATGGCGTAATTTCCTTTGGCAAATCATACACCCAACCACTGATCATGCCTGACCTTCTTCCCCACCACCCTCGGGGACACCGTACAACTCCCTCGAGAAAGCATTGAGTCATGACGATCAATTTGCCAGGACCTGTTTTACTTCCACTGTAAACAAAATACACGTCTATCAAAAACAAGCGCACAACCATATTGAAGAGCATATGCATCAATTACCTTTTGACATACCAAATCACCCTGTCAACAATTGGATATTTGATGCTACACCCATCAATGTCATTAAAGCTCAAACGAAACGCCTGCTATGGCATCAACGCCTTGGCCATATCAATGATGACTACTTATACAACACTCATAAATACATCGACAGTATCCCTAAATTCAAGCACACCGATCCAATCCTTGATAAATGCCCAACATGCATACAATCCAACCAGACAAAAACGCCGGCTGGCCCTAACACTACACGCACAGCAATGCTTCCTTTCCAAGGTCTATCTATCGATTTCTCTTTCAGCGGAACTAAATCGAAGGACACCGCACGCCTACAAGACTACGAAGGAATTAACGGCAAAACCAGTTGGATTCTTATCTCGGACCACTTCACTTGTTTCTTAACTGGTGATACTCGACTTTCGAAAGCGTCACCTATTACCTGGATTGAAGAGTTCCTCAAAACCGGCGCACCAAATTGTTCCAACAAATACGTTCAAATGGATCAAGGTGGTGAACTCTACCATAACCCAGAAGTGCGAAAACTATTTACTCGACACGACTATCAACTCAGACCAACAGGTGCCGACTCCTCCCATCAAAATAGCCCAGTTGAACGAGCCCACAGAACAGTCTCTGATTGTATCCGCTGCCTTCTTTCAGGTGCTTGACTCCCTATCAAATTTTGGCCATATGCATTTCATCACTCACTTCAAATTCTAAATGCAATTCCCCAGCATACGCAAACACAATCACCTCTACAACTCGCTACAGGAAAGAAGGAAAACTTACGCAACTTCAAAACTTTTGGATGTCGCGTATGGGTTCATCCACCTGGTCGGCTATCTGCCAAATTCAAAAATAATTCTTGAAAAGGCATATTCCTTGGATATCTACCTCAAACCACAAAGAATATTCTCTGGTATGACATCGAAACAGATTGTGTCAAAATTGCATCCCATGCTCGATTCGACGAAGGCATGAATGACCTACCCATCGACGCCATTCCCCCCAATATCGTTCACTTACAACACTCCGAGAACGGATCACTGATACCACCCGACGAATCCGA